TGGGTTCCATTCCTCAGCACCTCATACACAGAAAAACTCGGAAGTGGCCCAGTGGCTCAAGTGGTAGAGCACTAGCCTTGAGCAAAAGCAGCTCAGGGATGGTGCCCAGGACCTGAGTTCAAGCTCCAGGACTGGTGATAGGGGAAGGGAGGGGAAGGGAGGGGAAGGGAGAGGAAGGGAGGGGAAGGGAGGGGGAGGGGAAGGGAAAAGAAAGGAAGAGAAGGGAGGGGAGGGGGGGGGAGGGGAGGGAATAAAGTACATTGAGACTCATCTCCAATTAACTTGTGAGGCTCAAGTGTTAGAGCACCAGCCTTGGGTGAAAAACTCAAGTGAGAATGTGAGGCCCTGAGTTTGGGTCCCAGTACTGAAATCAATCAATCAATCAGTCTGGGCCTAGGATGGGGAGAGCACCCCCTAGACAAGCGAAGAGTGGGGTCAGGACGAGTTTTGCTCACAGTAATAGCCTCTTGCCAGCGATCAGGAGCCACCGTCTCTCGGGGCCTGGGGCCGGGCGGTGTGGGGCGGGCCTGCCCCGGGGCTCTGGGTGTCTAGGGAAACTTAGGGACCCTCAACTTTCCCACTGGCCTGAAACCAGTGCTGTGGCCCCGGCTTTGGGCGGGACGAGCTAGCCTGGGGGCCGCGGGGGCGGGGCCGGCCTCGGGCCCGGGACCGTCCACGGGGGCGGGGTCCCTGCGACGGCCCCTCCCAGCCGGGGACGCGGTCCGGACGCGGGGTGGCGGCCGGGGGAAACTGAGTCCCCGCGGGCCAGGGCGCCGTCCCCCGCCCGAGGCGGCCCCGGCGCGCCCTGCGGGCCGGCCCCGCGCGGGCCGGGCCAACCCTTACCCGGTCTCGCGGATGGCGTTGGTGAGGTTGGCCCAGGCCACGGCCCCGGGGTGGAGGCCGTCCACCAGGCGCAGCTGGCCCGACGCCGCGTCCACCAGCACCGAGCGGCTGCGGGAGACGGGCGGCTCGGGCTTGTGGCGCCCCCAGCGGTCCCCCGGGCTCGGGACGGCGCCCGCCGGGCCGCTCGGGGACAGCCCGACCAGCACGGCCAGCACCAGCGCCCGCGACAGCGACCCAGCCGGGCGGCCGCCGCGGAACCCGTACGGAGGGGCCGCCATGACCGCGCGGAGCCGCGCCGCAGCCTGGACCACGTGACCGCGCTCCGCCGCGGGGCGGGGCCTGCGGCGGGGCGGGGCCTGCGGCGGGGCGGGGCCTGCGGCGGGGCGGGGCCTGCGGCGGGGCGGGGCCTGCGAGCCGGGCGGGGTCTGGCTGAGGGGCGGGGCCTGTGTGCTGGGCGTGGCTTGAGGGGGAGAGAATGAGTCTTTCCGGGGTGGGCGGGGCCTGGGGAGACCCAGGGGGCGGGCAGATCTTAAAGGGCCAGGCGTGCTCTTTCCCCTGCTTAAGCCTTGCACACTCTTCCGTGACGCCTTTTTATTTGTTTATTTAGCCACTTCTGGGGTTTGAACTCAGGGCCTGAGCACTGTCCTGGAGCTTTTTCTTTGTCGGTCGTGAGGCCTGGATGCTGTCCCTGAGCTCTTCGGCTCAAGGCCAGCGCCCTACCGTTGGAGACACAGGGCCACTTCAGAGTCTCACGGACTTTCCTGCCCGGGCTGGCTTTGAACTGCGATCCTCGGAGCTCAGCCTCCTCAGTAGCCAGAATTACAGGCGTGAGCCACTGGGGCCCAGCTTCCTTGAGCTTCTTCAGCTCAAGGCTAGCGCTCTACCACCTGAGCCACAGCACCACCTCCAGCCCTTTCTGCTTATGTGGTGCTGAGGAATCGAACCCAGGGCTTCATGTAGGTGAGGCCAGCACTCTACCACTGAGCCACCTTCCCAGCCCTTGACACTTCTTCAAATTGACAAAAATCTCCAATCTGGGGAAAAGTTGCAAGTGTAGTAGAATGCAGATCTGTATGCCCTCCATCAGTTGCTAATATTTTGTTAATATTTCATTAAATTGTTTGATGAAGTAGCATGTCAGCTCTAACTAAATACTGCAGCTGGCCAAAAGCTGGAAGTGAGGGTGTGCTAGAGGGCTAGCCTTTTGGGCTTCTGGTCTTCAGCACACACACACACACACACACACACACACATACACACACACCCCAGACCTGTTATGATATTGCATATATGAGTAACCCCCAATCACTGAACTTTTAAGTTATTTCCAGTTGTGAAGATATCTGTAACGAAGTTCTGCTTAGGACATTGTCCAACCCTTCTCTCCCTTTCCTCAACAAAGCTCCAGGAGAGACACAGGTGGAGGAAAGGGTGGCTGGGGTCCAAGCTCCTTCCTGGAGATGAAATGCACCCAGGGAGGGCTGGGAAGGTGGCTCAGTGGTAGAGCGCTTGCCTTGCATGCCTGAGGCCCTGGGTTCTATTCCTCAGTACCATATAAGCAAAAAAAAAAAAAAAAAAGCCAGAAGTGGCGCTATGATTCAAGCGGTAGAGCGCTAGCCTTGAGCTGAAGAGCTGAGGGACAGCGCCCAGGCCTAGAGTTCAGGCCCCACGACCGGACCCCCCCCCAAAAAAAAAGAAATGCACCCAGGGAACATTCCAGTGAAGACCCTCCCTCCACAGGCAGGCTCTGCTGTCCATCCGGCATCCCTGAGATACGAGGAGCCCCCATCACCAGAGCACTGAACTAGGCCCGGGCTGCAGGGACTAATACGAACCACGTAGTTATAAAGGTGAGGTTCCTGTTTTGCTAAGGAGCCTGCCTGTGTCTGGCTTCTTATACTAAGTGAAAGTTCCAGTTCTCTGTCCCCTTCCAGCCCTCTGGCCACTTCTGCTCATGCTGTGTCCCCCCCACTCCCATTCATGCATATGTCTTCACCTGCCACCTCAACTCTACCCCCCCAATGTTGCAGCTTAGTGCCCGGGGGGGTCTGGCATAACGCAGGTGGCCCAGCCTGGGTGTGGTAGAAGGTATTGAATGGGTTCCACTCAGATCTGGGTGCAGTGCCATCTCTGCCATTTCATAATTTAACTTGACTGGTTTGGGATTCACTCCTAAGAAGCTGATATCCTCAGGATCCCAGTGCATGGCAATCACTCATGATCCAAGACTCTGGGAGGCTAAAGCAGGAGGATCATGAGTTCAAGGCCAGCCTGAGCTACATAGCAAGACCCTCTCTCTCCCTCACCTCCCCCAAGCATGTGTGAGGCTATACACTGCTGTTCACTCAATGGGATGTGGGGAGTCCTTTTCCCTACTGCCCCCCCCAATATAGCTCCCCTTTGCTGCTCATTGTGCTAGCTAGACATATCCTGTGATTGAGTTCGGCTGGCAGCTGTACCTTTCAAATACAACCAAGACCTTGGCATCCAGCTATGCACCAGTGGCTCATGCCTTCTTCCTAGCTACTCAGGAGGCTGAGTTAGAAGGATCTCGGTTAGAAGCCAGCCTGGGCATGAAAGTCTGTGAGACTCTTATCTCCAAAAAGTCAGCAGCGGAGGTGTGGCTCAAATAGTCTTGCCGGTCTGGGGCATAAAAGCTCAGCAACAGCTCCCAGTCTCTGAGTTCAAGCTTCAGTACTGACACAAGAGGAAAATAAAGAAAAGATCTTGGCATCTCATTGGCTTTTCCTGCAATAGGGTTTGATGTGTCTCCCACGGAGAGAACTCTGTCTCCTCTGGGGTAGCTGGGGGGAGGGGACCCATGACCGTGCTAGAAGCAGAAGTGGCCCACAAAGTCACTGCCACAACCTAGCCAGACAAGGTCACAGAACTTCCTTTCTGCCCTGGGACCCCTGAGGGGCCTCAAGCACTTGTATGCCCCCAGACTGCCAAGTGCTAAGCAAGCAGGAATTCAGCTGGAGAGGCTCCAGGCTACACAAACACATACAAACATCCAAGCAGTCTTTCCACATGGCCCAGCCCCCATCTGATTAGCACAGGAAGGACCTGAGACCTGGCTACTCAAGCTAAGCCCCTCCCAAGTCTGTGACCCTCCGAAAGGAAAGACATTTGGTCCCTTAGGCCTTTAATGTTGTAGATGGCTTGCAACTCAGCTGTAGCTAACCCATGACTAAGCAGGCTGACAGGAGGCTGGAAACCCAGCCTCTAGAGAGACAGAGACAGGAGGATGGTGACTTCCAGGACAGCCAAGTTTGTGATCCTCTGCCTTAAAAACGTATTATAAACCCGAGGGGCTGGAGCTGTGGCTGCGATAGAGGCCTTTCTGTCACTGAAGTACAAAGCCTTGGTCCCACCCTCTGATGTGAGCTGGCTTCGTCTATGGTGGCAAAAGCTTTCCCAGCCTGAAAAAAACAGCTCTAACTCAGAGTGCCGCCCACCAGAGCGCCATGACCCAGAGGCTGCCTTCCAGGCCACTGCTGGCCTCCTGCCCTGTTCCCGGGGGGGTCTTGGCCCCCTGAGCGTGCTCATCCCCTCCTCCTTCATTAGACCCCAGTCCTGGGACGTGGAGAGGTAGGGGCTGCAGGCCCCACTGACCTTGTGGCAAGCCCCTGGCCGGGCCTCGGAACTGCAGAGTCAGGGCCCAGCCAAGGGGAGGAGAACTTTGACTCCAACTCAGCGGTTTTGGAGCACTTCCCCAGGCAGCATGTGACAAGGTCAGAGGGCAGCTGACCCCAGAGCTGGCCTGGCCATTCCTACATGTGGATCTAGCTGTGGGTGCCCCAGTGCTGGGCCTGGGCAGTGCTGAGGGAGCCATTCCCATGGGGGAAGGGGAGACACAGTGACACAGGTGGCATCGTACACGAAGGAGTGTGCACTCTGTGTTAGTCCTGAGCTGGGGCTCCCACGATGCCATCACACACACCCCTCTCCCCCACTCCCCTCACGAAGTCCGCACATGATCACAGGCACCTCAGCTTCTGCTGGAAGGCTGAAGGCTCGCGGGACTGTGTCTTTAAGGAGGGGCGTGGCTACACGCAGGGGCGTGTCCGGGGGCGTGGCCGATATTGGGCGTGGCCGGGCGGGGCGAGAGCGGCGGGCTCGCGAGCTGCGGAGCCGCGGGGAGCAGCGGCGGGGCGGGGCGGCCGTGCTGGCGGATCCGCGGCCCCGGAAGGTCGCGCCATCGGCGGGGCCCGAAGGAAGGGAGGCCGCGAGGCCCGGCGGGTGGAGGCTCGGAGTTGGCAGATCCGGCGCTGGCCCGAGGTAAGAGGGAGGCTTCGCTCCCCCACGCCCTGCGCCGCCGGCCTGGGACCCAACTTCAGCTCCGCACCCGGGTCCCGACGGGGGAGCGCGCGGACGGGGCCGCAGGTCCGCGCCCCCCGCACCCCGGGACGCCCCTGGCTTCGGATCGGGCCTGCGCCCCTTGCCAGGCGCCTGGCTCCGGCACGTGCACGCTCGCAGGAGGCGCCGCGGACGCCACGGGCGGCCCGGGAGCGGCTGCGGTGCCCGTTTCACAGATGAGGCCCCGAGACGCCCAGTGACCTCCCCGAGGCTGCACAGCGCGGAGCGCCCGGGACCCCTGCGCTCCCCCACCGTGAGTGGGGGCCAAGGGACGCTGCACCCCGCCCCCCCCACAGGTGAGAGACAAGCCCCGGCCCCGCCTCTCCCTCGGGGTCCCCGCCTCTCCCTCGGGGTCCCCGCCTCTCCCTCGGGGTCCCCTCCTCCTCCCCTCAGCCGCCAGGACTCTGAGAAATGTTTGTGCCGAGACTGACCCTAATGCAACAAAATCTTTAAACTGGTTTTTTTCAAGATCTGAGGATCTCTGTTCGAAGCCAGCCTCAGCTCTGAAACTCATATCTCCAATTAACCAACAACAACAACAAGCCAGGAATGGATGTGTGGCTCAAGTGGTAGAGATCCAGTCTTGAGTGGGAAAAGCTCAGGACAGCAATCAGGCCCTGAGTTCAAACCCCAGGACCGGCGCCAAAAACAAAGTCCATAGATCATGTGGAAAACCAAAAAGAAAAAAAAATGAAGTTTGGCAGAGTTTTTCCAGGCAGCGTGTGTGTGTGTGTGTGTGTGTGTGTGTGTGTGTGTGTGTGTGTGTGTGTGTGTGTGTGTGTGTGTGTGTGGTGGGGGCTTGAACTCAGGGCCTGCCACTGTCCCTGAGCTCTTTTGCTCAAGGCCAGCACTCCACCACTTGAGCCACAGCTCCACTTCTGGCTGTTAGGAAAATGGAGCGGAAAGAAAGGAAACAGGTTGGACTCAGTCTTCCACAGGCGGGGACTGTTGGTTGAGAAAGCAGCAGGGGACACAGACTGTAGGTAGAGCTGGGAAAGGAGCTGGGTTTTATGAGGTCTGAGCAAGGAGGCAGAGGCTAATAAAAAAGCCAGTAGGTCTAGGGAGGATGGAATGCTTACAGCCAGGCTTAGAGAGATTGCTCTGCTGGAGTCCAGCAGTCTTCACTTATCTTTGGTGGCTTTTCCTGGTATCTGTTTGCACCTGGGAAACAGGGTGGGAGTCGAGCCTTCTTAGTCTATCTTTGAATACATAGCAAGAATGGACCAAGAGGGGTAAAGGTCTTTGGATTCATAAAAAGAATGGGCTAAGAGGGGAGCAACAGGGAGTTAGGAGAAGAAAGAGTCCCATCACTGGCTTCTTAGGTGGTTTAGTGGCGATGAGAGTCCCACCCACTTTCCTGCTTGCTGGGACTACCTTTAGATCTCAGCCTCCTGAGTAGCTAGGAATAGAGGCGTCAGCCACCGGTGCACAGCACAGTTGACTTTCTTTAAAGAAGAAATGGAACCCCGTTTTGTGCTGAGGGAAGTGGCAGACGTTGGATCCCAGTTCTGGTCCCAGGCTTGGTGGCCTTGAGCAATTCACCAACTTCCTTATGGTTTCCTCACCGGAGGAGCAGTTGTTGGCTATGTGGCCTTCTGGCTGTGTGACCATGGGGTAGGTTGCCAAACTACCCTCAGTGCTGACCCCTCCTCCATAAAAGCTGCAGGAGCAGCTTGGCTCTGAGGAAAGTCAGATGAGGCAGCTGAGGCCCTGGCCTCTCCGTGCCTCTCTTTCCCCAGTTGTAAAGTAGGAGTGCTGGGATTAAATGAGATTCCTGGTGGACTTGTTGAGCGTGCACAGAGACAACACAGCGTGGTTTAGCAACCTCTCCCGGGTTCAGGCTGGAGGCCTGTGGGGCCAGGTGTACTATTCAGTGTACTGCTGAGCTCTTTCCGGGACCCCACCCTAGCCACAGGCTACATGACTAGGCAGTGGCCCAGACGCTCTCTCTGCTGGCCCTAGAGATGCACATGCCTGGTGTTTTTGCTTCTGTGATGATACTGGGGCTTGGGCACTCTTTTGCTCAGGGCTGACACTCTACCACTTGAGCTGCAGCTCCATTTCTGGCATTTTGCTGGTGAGTTGGCGATAAGAATCTCACAACTGTCCTGCCCGAGCTGGCTCCAAACAGATCCTCCCATGTCAGCCTCCTAGGTCGCTGGGATTGCAGGTTTGAGCGATCGGCACCCAGCTAGAGACTCGTGGAGGGGGTTGAGGATGGGGAGGGGGTCACACGATCTGCCCACCCCATACGCCGGCCCTGGTCCTCTGAGGGAAGGGATGCCCTGGTGATGTGGGCTTCTACATCCGGTCCTTTGGTGGGGGAGGAGGGACTTTCCATCTTGGAAATGACCTTTCTGAGTCCTGGGACTCACGGTGACACTGTCCCCTCGTCTGGCCTTACCCTAGAGCTAGAGCCGCCTGGCCCGGTGAAAGGAAAGCCCAGGGTGAGGGTCAGGCCCTGGGGCCGATGGCTAGCAGATGGCTGGACCCGCTGGGGATGAAGGCAGCATCTGGTACAGGAGACCTGTCAACAAGCGTCCACATTGGTTCCCAGTTTCCAGGCTCAGGTGTGAACCAGACCCCCATGGCAGATGTGAGTATCCAGGGTGAATCTGTGCAATGGACAACTGTTTCCTGTCCCTACTGTGTGTTTAGCATGGACGAAAGTAGACAGAGGGCTCGTCCAGACTCCAGGGGTGGGGTGCTCCGGCCCCATGGGAGGAGCATGGGGAGACTGGAGGTAGGAACGTGCCCTCAGGCTCCATAAGGGGCAGAGGACACAGCAGATCCGGGGTCCCCGGGATTTCTTGGCATCCTCCCCTCCCTCCACACCACAGCCCCCAGCGTGAGCCCAGGGTTTCCCAGCCGTACCTCCTCTGGCAGAGATCATGAATCCAAGCGCAGGGGTAACAAGTGGCCGTTTGCTGCCCTTTGAGCCATTTCACAGAAGGGGAAGTGGTTTGTGGTTATGTGGTGCTGCCTCTTGGGGCAGGGAAACTGGGGTGGTCCCTGGCTTTGTGTTGGGTCTGTCCGGGTTCCTGAGCATTGAGGTGGCATGGTGCCGGGCTCCCCACATTCTTCCCAGTCCTACCTGGTGTCACGAGGACACGGGGACTTGGAGGGTCGGGAGGTGAAGCTGGCCATGAGGGGGGGTAGCAGAGCCAGAGTCCTGGAATATTTCTGAGCACCTACTATGTGCAGGAAAGCACCTACTGTGTGCACGAATGGTGCCAAGGCGCCAGGATGCGCTTTCAAAGCAAGTCAAGAAATGACTCCTCCCCGCAGTGTCGCGCTGTGTGCGCGCTGAACGTGTCCGAGCGCTGCGGGTTCATCCGGACCAACCCCGACTGCCGCACGGAGGGCGGCTACCTGGACTACTTGGAAGGCCTCTTCTGCCACTTCCCTCCAGGCCTCCTCCCTCTGGCTGTCACCCTCCACGTGAGTCCCAGCTTTGGGCCCTGGGGCTGAGGAGGCCAGGGGTCCCTCCCCCATCCTCCCACCGTGGGAAATAACTCACCCCTGCGGGCCCTCCCAGGTGCTCTGGCTTCTCTACCTGTTCCTCATCCTGGGAGTGACGGCGGCGAAGTTGTGAGTTTTGGCTCTGCGCGCGTTCGAATCGGGCTTAGTGATGGGAAAGGGAAATCCCAAGAGGCCAGCATCTGGGGGGGGGGGGGGCGGCTCTGGGTTCCAGCATGAAGGGGGGGGGGGGATGGAGCTGTCCTTCACGGTCAGCTGACCCTGGGCTTCCCTCCCTAGTTTCTGTCCTAACCTGTCGGCCATTTCCACCACCCTCAAGCTGTCCCACAACGTGGCAGTATCCTTCTTCCCCGTGTGGTCCAGGGTTCCAACGCCCTTGTGGAGGAAGGGGGGGGCAAAGGGCATGGGGGGCCGGGAGGGGAGGGCCTGGCACAGAGCCTCCTTGACGCAGCCCCCCATGGTGTAACTTTCCTGGCGTTCGGGAATGGCGCCCCCGATGTCTTCAGTGCCCTGGTGGCCTTCGCAGACCCGCGCACTGCCAGCCTGGCCATCGGCGCGCTCTTTGGTGAGTGTGGCCACGGCACGGGGGTGGGCGGAGGGGAGAGGGGGGAGGGGGCATCCAGAGGGGCGGCTGAGCCCCAGCCCACCGTGCCCTGTTGCCCTGCAGGTGCAGGGGTGCTGGTCACCACCGTGGTGGCCGGGGGCATCACCATCCTGCGCCCCTTCACGGCCGCGTCCAGGCCGTTCCTCAGGGACATCACCTTCTACATGGCAGCCGTATTCCTGACCTTCACCGCGCTCTACCACGGCAGGGTCACGCTGCTGTGGGCCCTGGGTGAGCAGTGGGGCTGGGCCCCCGGGCAAGGTTTCTGGGGGAGGGGGAGGCGCTCTGATTGGCTGTGAGTGACGGAGACCCCACCCCACTCCGGGAGGGGCGGGGCAAGCCAGGCTCAGGTAACCAAGGGGAAGGCGGAGATGGGGGCCGTTTCCCAGATCCATCATTTTCTCTTACCGGTACTAGGACTTGAATTCAGGGCCTGCACTTGCTAGGCAGCTGCTCTATAGCTGAGCCACACCCCTTGCCTTATCGTTTCTTTTTCTTTCTTTCTTTTTTGTTTTTGTCAGTCCTGGGGCTTGAACTCGGGGCCTGCCTGGACACTGTCCTTGAGCTCTTTTGCTCAAGGCTAGTGCACTCTACCACTTTGAGCCACAGCACCACTTCCAGTTTTCTGGTGGTTAATTGGAGATGAACATCTCAAGGACTTTTCTTCCTGGGCTGGCTTTGAACCTCAATCCTTAGATCGCAGTCTCCTGAGTAGCTAAGATTACAGATATGAGCCACCAGCGCCCAGCCTGATATCTTTCTTTCTTTCTTCTTTCTTTCTTTCTTTCTTTCTTGCTTGCTTGCTTGCTTCCTTCCTTCCTTCCTTTCTTCCTTTCTTTCTTTTTATGTGTGTGTGCCAGTACTGGGGCTTGAACTCAGAGCCTGGGCACTGTCCTTGAGTTTTTTTGTTCAAGGCTAGTGCTCTACCATTTGAGTCATAGCTCTACTTCCAACTTTTTTGATGGTTCATTGGCGATAAGAGTCTCATAGAACTTTCTGTCTGGGCTGTTTTTTTTGTTTGTTTGTTTTTTGTCTGTCGTGGGGCTTGAACTCTGGGCCTGAGCGCTATCCCTGCACTCTTCAGCTCAAGGCTAGCACTCTACCACTTGAGCTACAGTGTCACTTCTGGTTTTCTGGTGGTTTATTGGAGATAAGAGTTTCACAGACTTTGTTGCCCAGGCTGACTTTGAACCGCGACCCTCAGATCTCAGCCTCCTGACTAGCTAGGTTTACAGGCATGAGCCACCGGCGCCCGGCCTGGGCTGGTTTTGAACCATAATCCTCAGATCTCAGCCTCGTGAATAGCTAGGATTACAGGCGTGAGCCACTGGGCTTGATTTTAACAGTGCCGCCTCTGCCTGCAGGAGCCTGGCTGCAAACATAGTCCGCTAACTGGCTGCCAGCACAGAGGTTCCAGGCCTGCCAGGGACAGGGCACCACAGGGAAGAAAGCCACCAGAGCCAAACCCTCCCTAATCTCTCCTGTGCTCTGACTCTTAGGGGATGAGCTCCTCTCAGCCCTTGAATGGAAGTGTGGAGATTGCTAGGTACCGGCCTCTCCTCCGGGATGTCTGGGTCCTGAGGTAGCAGAAAGGGGAGATGGCCAAGAAAGGCAGGAAGGAGGAGAGAGCGTACGAGAGAGGGCCGCTCACCTGCTCAGATGACACTGGGCAGACCCCATGAAGGCCCACGGGCAGCAGGGTCAGTGATAGCTGGCCCCTCTCCGCAGGCTACCTGGGCCTCTACGTGTTCTACGTGCTCACTGTGATCCTCTGCACCTGGATTTATCAACGGCAGCGGAGAAGGTCCCTGGCCTACTCCATGCCAGGAACTCCCGGTAAGAGAGGACACGGGGACGGCTGTCTCCTGCCCCTAGGCCATTGTGCTCCCTGCCCAGTTCTTCTCTTCCTGCATTTTCTAGTGTTCTCCCCGCACCATGGCCCGGCCTCTGGTCCTGACCCCCATCTCTGTCCGCGTCCAGTAGGTCTCCCTCCCTAAGCCTCCGTCAGGGCCAGCTTGCTAAGAACTGTCTATGACTAGACACTAGTAGCGCCCACCTGTAATCCTTGCCACTCACAAGGCTGAGAATCTGAGCAGGATCGAGGTTTCAAACCTTGGCTTCAAGCCAGTCTGGGGTAGGAAAATCCATGAGGCTCTCATCTCCAAGGAACCAGTAAAGGGCCAGAAGTGGAGGTGTGGCTCAAGTGGTAGAGCACCAGTCTTCAGCAAAAATGCCAAGTGAGAGCATGAAGTTCTGAGTTCGAGCCTCACTACCAACAGGAAGGAGGGAAGAAGAGAGGGAGGGAAAGAAGGAGGAAGGGAGGGAGGCAGGCAGACAGGAAGGAAAGGAGGGAGGAAGCCATTCAGCTGCCTCACTGATCGGGGAGGATCTTGAGCATGCGCAGAGGTTGCTGGGAAATCTAGAGCCGCTCAGGGCAGAGCAGGCGCCCAGCCTGAGTGAAGCCCTGGGCTCCATCCCCAGCAGAGGAGAGGGAGTCCTCTAGTCCCAGGAGGTCGTGGGCTCTGGGGCTGGGGGTCATTGCTGCCCGCTTCCTGCAGAACTGTCAGATTCAGAGGATGATCGGGTGTCATCCAACACCAACAGTTACGACTATGGTGAGTTCAGCTGGGGGTGGAGGAGTGGGGGGGGGGACGGGAACACCCCTGGTCCCCAAGATGGTGCTCCAAACCCGCCCCACCTGGGCTGAGTCGTGGCTGGAGGGGGGGGGGGCAGGGTCCCTCGGAGGTGGGGCCAGTCACAGCCACCTGCTCCGCCCGGCACAGGTGAAGAGTACCGGCCGCTGTTCACGTACCAGAATAGCACGGCCCAGGTCCTGGCGGAGGCCCTGAGCCCGCTGGACTCTCAGAAGTGGAGAAGCCAGTCAGTGTCCTGGAGACTGCTCAAGGTGCTCAAGGTACGGGGTGGGGAGCCAGGCTCTGGCTTTGTGACTGCACAGTGGCCCCGGGCCGCAACTCAGCCTGCGGGCACAGGGGCGTCCAGAGGACGCCGGCGACATCACCATCTTCACTTTGATCCCGGGCAGTAAGAGAATAGGCGTGCACAACCCGTCCCGGCACCTCCTTCCGCCTCCTCCCTGAACCCTCCTCCCCCACTGACACAGCTGCCCGTGGAGGTCCTCCTGCTCCTCACCGTGCCCGTAGTGGACCCGGACAGAGATGACCGGAACTGGAAACGGCCCCTCAACTGTCTGCAGCTGGTCATCAGCCCCCTGGTCCTGGTCCTGACCCTGCAGTCCGGAGCCTGTGAGTCCCACCACCCAAGGCCCTCCCCGTCCCCAGCCCTCCTCTTCACAGAGCAGAAGCCTGGGTAGAGAGCAGGCATTTCTTGTGTGCAGGAAGCAAAAAGAAAAAAAAAAAAAAAGCAAGCAAGAAAGGAAAGAAAAATGTTGAGATTCCATATCAAATTCTAGATTTGGGCCGGGCATGGTAGCTCACGCCTGTCATCCTAGCTACCCAGGAGGCCGAGATCTGAGGATGAAGGTTCACAGCCAGCCAGGGCAGGGAAGTCCGTGAGACTTTTATCACCAATGAACCACCAGAAAACAGGAAGTGGCGCTGTGCCTCAAGTGGTAGAGTGCTCACCTTGAGCTGAAGAGCGCAGCGACAGTGCCCAGGCCGAGTTCAAGCCCCATGACCGACCAAAAAAAAAAAATCTAGATATGGCATCTCAAGATCCGGGCTACGTTCTAGAAGGTGTTGGCCTGATTCCCGGGGACCGCTCTGATTCTCAGGGGGCCCTTTGATTCCTGGGGGCCTATGGACACACACGCAGCCCACATCCTCTCTGGCCTTCCCTGCCCTGCAGGGACCAGCCGGGCTCGTGTCACCTGACCAGGTGATTTCCTGTCCCCACTGCACTGGACTGATTTTCTGTACCCGGGAGGGCCAGCTTCTCCCTTCCGCCTCGTGGTGATGGAGACGCCCTCTGTGCTCAGGCCTCACTCCTGCCATTCAGGGTTTTCCATGCTGTCTCCCTAGAGGCTCTCCTGCTGCTCCTTTCTGTCATCTGGGCAGGGACAGCAAGCCAGGGTGGGAGTTAGTGCCTGGAGGAAATGAAATCAGGGCCAAACTGCCTGAGCCTGTCCCCGGTTTTTCGTTTTCTCTTTGTCAGTCGTGGGGCTTGAACTCAGGGCCTGGGCACTGTCCCTGAGCTTTTCTACTAAAGGCTAGCACTCTACTACTTTGAGCCACAGCGCCACTTCCCGCTTTTGAGTGGTTAATTGGAGATAAGTCTCATAGGTACTTTTGTGTTAGCTTTGAACCACTGTCCTCAGATCTCAGCTTCCTGAGTAGCTGGGATTACAGGTGTGAGCACTGGAGCCCAACATTTTTTTTTTTTCTGATCCAGTGTCTTGTTATGTAGCCCAAGCTTGCCTGGGACTTGTGGTCTTCCTGCATCAGTCTCCTGAGTGCTGGGTGACAGGCGTGTGTCACCAGGCCTGGATGATATTTTTCTTAGCTCTTTAAAAGAAATTATTTTAAAGGGGGAGGAACATAAAAGGCACAACGCCTCTGATCGCAAAAAATAGTATTTATTCAAATGAAAAAAAAAAAAGGAAGCTACTTTACCTCCATTAGCAGGACATTGGCTTCGTTTCTAAAACAAACTCAGGGTTGTCCATTGATCTCAGAATTGCCCCCTGGAAGCCAGCCACCTGTTGGGTGCTGCGTACAGGGTGTGAATCCAGCCCCTCTGTGCTCACAGAGGTGACAGCCTGAGAGCCAGACCCCAGGAAGGACAAGAGGAAGGGCTCAAAGCATGGATCTGGGCCTTGGAGACGTTTATTGCCTCTGGTGCTGAAAAGCATGTAGGCTCAGAATTCTAGAATGTTCTTCCCAGCAGTAGGCTTTCAGTGTTTTGAGCCCTGTAGAACCTTTGTAGCTTGTCCAGCTTGTTCGTGGAGTGGCATGGCAAGAGCTCAGGAGCTGGCCTGGTTGTCAGTGGGCAAGGTTGGTTTGATCAGCACCTTCATCCCACTGAGAGTTCATCCATTGGTGATGCCTGGCTGGAGGGAGCTTCCTGAAGCTCATTGGACAGAGGCATCATGGTTGATTGGTGATGTCTGCCATGAAGGTGAGTGTGTGTGTGTGTAAAGGTAGTGTTAGCCATTTCCTGATTCTGTGCTTATCTTTTCTTTCTAATTTCTCTGCCCTCCTCCCTGAAGTGCCAGGCAGGGCTAGGCATACAGGGAGCTGACCTCCTCGCCAAGCAATCCAGGCTCACTGGGCTTCCCTCTGAGTATTTCCACCAGGCCCGCCCATCTTGCCTGGGGCTCTGGGAGGTGTAAGTAGAGATACCATCTCCTTCTTGTCCCACAGACGCTGTGTATGAGATCGGCGGGCTCGTCCCCATCTGGGCCGTGGTGGTGATTGTGGGCACAGGCTTGGCCACAGTGACCTTCTTTGCCACTTCCAACAGTGAGCCCCCCAGACTGCACTGGGTGAGGGTCCCAGCTCTGTGGGTTGGGAGAGGGGGCGTGGGGTGGGGGGCTGGGCACAGGTACCCATGGGCATCTCCAGGAGGCTTGTCAAGGGGTCACTAGCAACCATGGCAAGGGTACCTTCAACTTGGGGATTTGTCCCAAGTTTTATTTTGTTTTGGGAGAACTAGCTTCATTTTCTTGAGGTATAATTTACAGACCATGCAATTCACCTGTTTAAAGCCTACAGTTGAATGGTATCTATCTACTTATCTATTTTTTGCTGGTACTGGGGCTTAAACTTAGGGCTTCACACTTGCTTAACTTGTTTGCTCACAGCTGATGCTCTACCACTTAAGTCTTGCCTCCAGTCCAGCTTTGTTGTTGATGGTGGTGGTGGTGGTTGTGGGGCTTGAACTGAGGGCCTGGGCACTGTACCTGAGCTTTTTTGCTTAAGGCTATCACTCTACCACTTTGAGCCATAGCTCCATTTCTGGTTTTTGAGTGGTTCATTGGAGATAAGAGTCTCATGGGGACATTTCTGCCTGGGCTGGCTTCAAACTACAATCCTTAGATCTCAGCCTCCTGAGTAGCTAGGATTAAAGGAGTAAGCCACTAATGCCAGGCTGCTCACCCCCTCCTCCCCCCAATTTTTTTTTTTTTAAAGCAAAACTCTAAACCAATGTAGCAACCCCTGGGAGGCTGAATTTACAACCATGTGATGAATTTTAGAAAATGGCTCCTGCCAGTGTCCTGGCGAACTTCCAACCTATGACACGGAGCTCACCCTCGAAAACACTCATTGACCGAGGACAGTGAGAAGGGCTACAGCAAGTGAACCCCTCATAGTGTACGATGGACAGGTGCCCAGGGGCAGGAGATAGCAAGATTCAGGAGAATCAAGACATGAGCTGAGCTTTCATTGAGCACCTACTGCACACAAGCACTGACTTTGCACCTGTGAACTCATGAATGAGGCAAGGCACAGTTATAGGAGGTTACCGAAGGGCTTGGCAGTGCCCTGGTGGGGGCCGGCCTTGGTGCTAGAAGGCTTCTGTCCCTCCACAGCTCTTTGCTTTCCTGGGCTTCCTGACCAGCGCCCTGTGGATCAACGCGGCGGCCACGGAGGTGGTGAATGTGCTGCGCTCCCTGGGCGTGGTCTTCCGGCTGAGCAACACCGTGCTGGGTCTCACGCTGCTGGCCTGGGGGAACAGCATTGGAGGTGACTCGAGGCACAGCCAGTGTCATTGTGGGGTGATCGCAGCCTCCTCTGGGCAGCTCGCCGGGCCCCCAGCCCCCGTGTCGCCTTCACTCAGGGTGTGCACATTGTCTGCTGTCATTTTGCACTGCCCCTTTTGCTGCGGCTGTGGGGGAGATGGCGCCAGCTGCCCCTGGATCAGGACACCCGTCAGAGGTCCGCGGGGCCCCAAACTCAGTGCTCCCCAGAGCCCGTCACAGTGCCCCCGCCCCCTACCCAAGCACTCCTTTATTGAGCTACAGCAGCGGGAGGGGGCGGGGCTTCACTGCTCTCTCTCTCTCTCTCTCCCCCTCCCCCTCCCTCCCTCCCTCCCTCCCTCCCCTCTTCCTGCACAGATGCGTTTTCGGACTTCACCCTAGCCCGCCAGGGCTACCCTCGGATGGCATTCTCGGCCTGTTTTGGTGGCATCAACTTCAGTATCCTTCCTGGGCCTCTGGGGTCATAGATCCGAGAGCCAGGGGTGTGCTCTTGTGCCCTGCCCCTTGGGGTAGTCTAGAAAGTTCTCTGAGGGGGGGGGCACCTGGGGTAGGGTTTATGGTTCCTTGAACCTCAGCTCCTGGAAATGGGCCACGGAGAGGACCAGACGCCAAGGGCTGGCGGATTCTTTGCAGCTGGTAAGCGCTCAAGATGGCGCTGCCTTTGCCCTGGTTAGCTGCCACGTGGTGAGCCCAGGTGCCCCAGGAAGGAAGGTGCGGCCCTCATGCCTGTGGGGGTGTGTCATGGTGTCAGTGGGTACCCGGTCTAGGGTCAGCACCTGCTCTCTGTGCGATGATTCACCCCATGGGTGCTATGCAAAACAGCTGCAGACTGGACACAGCTGGTCAAGTGTGACTCTGCTCCCAACAGCCTATAAAGCAGGCTTGGGTGCGGTTTCATCCGGGGCTGTTTGCACAGCCAGAGATGGCGGCACACCTCTGTAATCCCTGCACTTGGGAGATTTGAGGCCGGAGGAGCTCTAGTTCTAGGCTATCTGTACAGCTAGACTCTGCCTCCAACAAGAACAAAATGGGGCGGGGGTGGCGTGGCCTGTGGAGTGGAGGGCCTTGGGGCCGCTCATCGGGCGGTCCCAGGGGTGCCTGGGCTTCTCGAGGGCCCTCTGTCTTATAGCGGATTGGACTAAAGGGGACAAAGAGGCCAAGTGAGGCCGAGGACATGCACAGTCGCTTCCTGAGCCAGGCTGCAGACATCCTGGTGGGAGTCGGGCTGGGCTGCCTGCTGCAGATCGCCCGGGGCCACACGGAGGTGAAGGTGAGCGCCAGGTGCGGGCAGTCCCTTTCCACGTGCTTCCCTGCACTCACGAGGGAATTCCAACCACCACCTGCAGTGCGCAGGGAGAGACACGGCACAGTGCATTCACCCCTACAGCCACCCTCACCAGTGGCAGCATACAACGTGGAGAACCAGATGCTTAGTCTCTCGGCCGAGAGGCCGCGCTCTGGTCAGTTGCTAGCAGGGCTGGGCCGGCTCTGCAGGCACTCACGCGGGGCCCTTCCTGGCTCTTCCAGTCTCTGATGGCTCCTAGGTCCCTGTGGCTCTTGGCCACTCTGGTCTGGGGTCCATCTTTACACAGCCTTCTTCCCTGTGTCCTCTTCCAGGACCTCTAGTCGCTGGATTGAGGGGCCACCCCATGTTCAGGATGGCCTCAGCTTTAGACCCTAAATGATACCTGCAAAGACATGGTGGGGAGAGCTTGCACTCAGCCTGGGCGCTGTCCCTAAGCTCTTTCACTCAAGGCTGGCGCTCTACCACTTGAGCCACAGCGCCACTCCCAGCTTTTTGGTAGTTAATCGGAGCTAAATCTCAGGGACTTTTCTTGCCCGGGGTGGTTGTGAATGGCAATCCTTAGATCTCAGCCTCCTGAGTAGTTAGGATTGCAGGCGGGAGCCACCGTGCCCAGCCTGCCATCCAGCATCTTGTAAGAGTCGGCCTAAAATGAGCCTAAAATAGCCTAGAATAAAAAGGTCTAATCCAAAATGCCAGGTACTGAATGGAAGTGAGAGAGGGAGGGAGAGGGTTTTTTTGTTTTGTTTTTTTTTTTTTGGGTCCGGTCGTGGGGCCTGAACTCTGGCCTGGGCGCTGTCCCTCAGCTCTTAAGCTCAAGGCTAGCGCTCTACCACTTGAGCCACAGCGCCACTTCCAGCTTTTTTTTTTTTTTTTGCTTATGTGGTGCTGAGGAATCGAACCCAGGGCCTCAGGCATGCAAGGCAAGCGCTCTACCACTGAGCCAACTTCCCAGCCCTTGTTTTGTTTTTTTAAAGGAAATTCAAACAACTGTGGCCTTTTAGTGCTCACCCAGCTCTGTTCAAATCTTGCTTTGTCCTTCTGTCCCTCTAACTCCCATCTCTGCTGTACTCCACGGGACATGAAGGCTCTAGCAAGCTCAGGAGTGCTCGGTAGTTAAAACCTATCTGGCTGGCTGCATCTGGCTGCATCTGACTGGGTGTAAGCAGAACAGCCAGGCAGCAGGGCGGGGCCAGGCATCTGTGGAACGTTCTCTTGCACCTGGCTAACTGCAAGGTGGGGCCCGCACGGTGGGCAGCGGTGGACTGCAGCAAGCCAGCCTCTCCCTTTCCCTGCAGCTGGAGCCGGACGGACTGCTGGTGTGGGTGCTGGCCGGCGCCCTGGGGCTCAGCCTCGTCCTCTCCCTGGTCTCTGTCCCGCTGCAATGCTTCCAGCTCAGCAAGGGCTACGGCTGCTGCCTGCTCCTCTTCTACAGCAGCTTCCTGGTCGTGGCCCTCCTCACTGAGTTCGGGGTGATTCATCTGAAGGGCGTGTGACCGATGCTGCCTGGAGGTGTGCAGGGGGCACAGACTCCTGGGGTAGCTAGATGGGGTGACCGTGTACCTCGGCTGAGCCCTGGAAGCCGGGGCCCTGGAGACCGGCTCTGCCGGGGATGTGGAGTGATGGCAGAGCCCTCGGCACCCCAGGGCAGCCCTGCCCGGCCCTCCTCGCTGGGCGAAGGGCTGATAGTGAGCCACTGAGCTGTCCCATATTGAGGGTCCCAGTGGCCACGTCTTAAGAAACCCAAGATGGAGGTGGAATGAATGGCAACCCGTTATTGAACCCCGGGTGTCCAAAACACTCAGCTGCGCCCCTGCCTCGGGAATGGCCGCCGCCACGGACAGCGGCTGCGGACCCGGCCCTCTGGACCTGTGCACAGCAGAGCCTACTGGGAAAGGAGAGGCCCCAGGGCCTTCCCAGGGTGGGTGGCCGGGCCTCGATTTTTAAAGAAGCAGTGTGTTTGCCTTCTGCAGTCAAGGGGTTCGACTGTCCTCCAACCCCCGCAAATAAAAAAAGATGCAGTGCTTCAAGTACCCGGGATGCGGCATGCACCGCCGCTGGCTCTTGCGTACCTGAGCCGGGTGCTGGCTGGCCGCCGGCAGGGCTTCTTGGCAAAGCCTGGTGGGGCCAGGGGCAGGGTTGGCAGGAACGGCTGGGGGCGCCCCACCCCCAAGTCAAGAGGCAGCAGCCATGCCTACAAAGCAGAGCGCTTTTATTAATACGCCAGAAATCGGACCCAGTGGGTTTCTAGAGTAAGAAATCACAATGTACAAAACCTCGTGGCGTTGCTCCCGTGATCTGAGCCGTACAAAATGATTGTCTGCCTGTGTGGAGTAAGGCTGGGGTGGGGGAGGGAAGCAAGGAGGAAGGGGGGGGCCCCCGGCGGTGACCCTCAGAGCATCTATGCCCCCCCTCACCCCGGGCTGTGCGTGGGGCTGTCAGTGGTCATCCCCGGGGCCCGCTGAGCCGCAGTGGAGCCAGAGGCCTGAGCTAGGTCCCGTCCTGAGCCCTCCGCACTTAACTTCCTGGGGGACCCTGCTCCCAGCTCTGGGGCAAGCGTGGGCCGGTCAGCACCCTCCTGCCCCAGCCCTGCCTTCCCTTCCCTTGGGGCCACAGAATGCTCAGTCCAAGGCCCCGAGCCCTGGGTTACCGGCTGTCCCTCCTCCTGCTTCCACAATGCCCATTCCAATGCTCAAAGGCTAAAGGCACCTGGTTGTGCAAACTGTTCCTTCTCTGCAGAGAAGGCTGTGGCCTGGGCTCCGGCCACGCTCCTGTGATGGGGCAGTGTCGCCCCTGCCAGTCCTGGAGGACCAGTGCTTCTCAATGACAAGGGCTGGGCTTTACAGAGAACATGAGTCCCCTCCCTCTACCCCCCCCCCCCCGGGGTCTGTGCCAGTGTGGCCTGGGGTGGGGGACCGCTCAGGTCCATGGGTCAGCTCTATCTGCTCCTCTACAGCTGTCCCTGGCTCCCCCCCATCCACCTGCCAGCCCCAGGAACCAGGGGGAAAGCTAGGCTGGCTGGGGTGCTCTCCAGCTCCCCACCCCAGCACATCCCCGGTTCCGTGATCAGGACAGCAGGGCTGAAGATACCATGGCTCTGACCCACACCCACACCCCCTTTGGCTGCCACCCCCAGCCTGCTCTGCAGCCGGGCGCCGTCCCTACCCCAGCACTGCTGGGGTGCTGGGGAAGGTGGCTGAGACCCTCCCTGGACCTCTCTTGCACAGACCCCCACCCCCCAACCCTGGACCCTGGGTGTGCTGGGCCCCTGAGCCCCAAATCCAGGAAGAGCGGCCATCCTGGGTGCCATGAGCACCAGGCTGGCACCCAACACACACGTCCCCAGGACCTGGGTCCCCCAGACACCCCTCTGCTGAACAGGTTAAGCCGTAAGTGGAACAAAACATGGTGGAGAAACACATTGCAGAAGCCGCCGGTCCTGGGCCTCGGGCCTGCTTCCTCCGCAGAGGCCGAGGCCGGGGACTTGGCAGCCGCCAGGGCCTGGGGGACAGCGGGAGGCAGGACGCAGACTGGCACGCCAGTAGCTGCAGCCCAGCACTGCGGGCTGAGACCTGATGGCAGGTGTCTACTCCTTTGTCCCCAAAGGGCTGCCCTGGGGCCTCGGATTCTCTCATCTAAGTGGTTCTTCCCCAGGGCCAGGCTAGACACCCATGCGGGCCATGGAGCTTGAGGGACGCGTGGGGACTTGAGCCCCAGGCACGGGGAGGGGTGGTCCCATCCATTCTTGAGGAGGGGGCTTCTGGATCCACCCCATGGACCCCCAGGCCCAGGCGGACTGCTGGAGTGGAGGAAGACAAGGGGAGAGGACCGCAAGGCGGTGGCGGCGTGCAGCCCTGCCTGCTGTCCCTAGGTAAGTCTGCGCCTGCGTGGGCACATGGGCACACATCGTCGGTGCGCCGCGGAACGTAACACTATTGGGTTATTGCATAGAAGAGATGGCTTGGCGGGCTGGGGTGGGGGGGGGTGCCTAGGTGACCGTCTGGGAGCGCTGGCGGCTGATGGGGGGCTGCTGGGCGGCAGGACCTGCGACCTGGCTGCTGATCTGCTGGAGCGACTCCTGCTCGCGGGCGTGTTCCTCGTACCACTCCTGCACAGAGCGGGGCAGGGCTGAGCCGGGGCCACCCCCACAGGAGCGGCCCCCACCCCCCACCGGCTGACACACACCTGCCGGCCAGGAATGCCAGGCACAGGACAGCAGGTCCAGACCGAAGGGGGGGGCGGCGCTCTGGTCCCCGCCCACCCTCCCTGCGCCCCGATGACCCCCATCTGCCCCTGCGGCCCCGCTCAGGGTAAGAGATGGAGATGTTCACAACAAATCAGGTTGCCCTGAGTAAGTTAAGGGTCCGCCAGAGACCCAGACACCGGCAGCAGTGTCCCCGCACCCGCCTCGGGGGACCATGGACCCCTCCCATTGTGCCCATGGGTACCTGGATCTCCTCCTGGTACATCTTCAGGCTCAGGTCACTCTTGGTCCTTGATCTCCGTCCCAGAAACACCAGGGAATTTTGCTATTGGAAAGTGGAGATAGTTAGACAGGTTGCCAGGTCCGGCCACCCCAGAGCCTGGGTTTCCCCCACACAACCCCTCCCCGCCCCACACCTTCGAGTGTCACCCCCAGGAGCAGGAGGACACAAGGCCAATGCCCGCTCCCGTGTCCCACCCTCCTACCTGGTATTTCTCCATCTGCGCCAGGGTCTCGAGCAGCTGTGAGATGTCGGAGGAGGCCCCCCGGCCCTCGCGGTAGAGCTCCAGGACGGCAAGCAGCTCTTCCTTGGAGATCTCTCTCTCCAGGGTGATGCCTCCGTCATCTGCAAGGGGTAACGGGGCGGGCAGCCGCAGAGCCCAGCGACCCTCCCCAAACACACGCTGGCCCCGTGTGCCCCTGCTCTGTGCCCCTTCCTTCCCTACCCTCATCGGAAGGGAGAAGAGCAGAGGGGACCCGGGAGGCGCCTCCCACCGAAAGGAAAATGGTCAGATAGCACGTGGAGGGTCAAGGCAGGAAGCTTCTGAGTACAAGGCCAAGAAAAGAGAAACCCTGGCTCAAAAAACAAAATCAATCTATCTATCTATCTATCCATCCATCTATCTATCTAGTCAGCCTAACACAGGGCCTGTGCAGCTGTTGGCCATTCCCGGCGCTGCGGGTCCAGTGCGGGGAGGGCAGGAGAAGGGCAGTTTGCAGGGCAGCCACCCAAGGCCTCCTCCACACTTTCAGTGATGTGCCAGGCTGACTTTAGAATGAGATCACAAGCATCGGTCTGCTATTAAACATTTGACCATCACGGCAAAGAAGAGATCGGGATGGATAAGCCAGACAGACAAGCTCAACCGCTAGCGGCTGGCAGCCAGATGGCCAGCTGGACATCCATACAGAGAGCAAGAGAGAGAGAGAGAGGGGGAGAGAGAGCCAGCGGGTCAATGGTGCCAATGCCTGCCAAGGGAGTCCCTGCACAGACCTTCCGAGTCCTGGTTCTTGCGGCTGTAGTTCATGCGGAAGACAAAGGCCTCCAGGATGAAGGCCACAATGATGGTCATCACCACCTGGCCAGCAGGGAAGGAGGGCGTGGGTCAGAGGTGTGGCGGGCCACAAGGGGGCGGGGTGCGTGGCTGGGTGGACCTACCATGGTCACGATGTAAAAGGTCATGAAGTAGAGGCGGCTCCAGTGCGAGGTCTGCGAAGTGACACCTTCCTGGATGGGGGTGGGGAAGCCAGGGAGCATGCGTGGGCAGCGCCAGGCACCGGCACCACGCATCCCCGGCTCCTCCCAGCCTTCCTGCTCCACCTGGGAGCACAGGGACAGGAGAGGGGCCTCGCCCCACTGAACGTGACCCCTGGCCCCTCTCCAGATGGCCGAGGGAGCCTGGGCCTCCACAGCTGGGTCTTTGTCTTAAGCAGCAAGGGACTTAGGAGAGTTTAAGAATTGGAAAAGAGGGGCTGGGAAGGTGGCTCAGTGGTAGAGCGCATGCCTTGCATGCATGAGGCCCTGGGTTCAATTCCTCAGCACCACATAAGCAAAAAGAAAAAAGCCGGAAGTGGCGCTGTGGCTCAAGTGGTAGAGTGCTCGCCTTGAGCTGAAGAGCTGAGGGACAGCGCCCAGGCCCAGAGTTCAGGCCCACAACTGGACCCAAAAAAAAAAAAAAAAGAATTGGAAAAGAGGGCTGGGAAGGTGGCTCGGTGGTAGAGTGCTTGCCTAGCATGCTTGAAGCCCTGGGTTCAATTCCTTAGTACCACATACACAGAAAAAGCCAAAGGTAGTGCTGTGGCTCAAGTGGTAGAGTGCAAGCCTTGAGCAAAAGCAGCTCAGGGACAGCGCCCAGGCTCTGAGTTCAAGTCTCAGGACTGGCAAAAAAAATTTTTTTTTCCTTTGAAAAACAAAACCAGCAATGCTTGTCATACTGCTCCTGTAGGGGCAGAGCGCTGCTGTGGGGGCTGGGCTGGACTCTTGCTCCCAGCTCGGCGATTCTTCAGCTTCAGCTCCCTGAGTAGCCGGGATGATGGGGGTTTGCTACCATGCCCATTCTGCCAGGTTCTCAATTTTTCTTTCTTTAGGTGGTGCTGGGGATTTGAACTTGGGGCCTTGCACTCACTAGGCTCGACCACTTGAGCCCCATCTGCAGATCTTTTTGCTTTTGTTATTTTCTGACAGCCAGGATTGCAATCTTCCCATGCTTCTGGGACGACAGACGCACTCCGCCACACAGCTTATGGGTTGAGCAGGGGTCTGGCTGGCCTTTTTGTTGGGGGGGGGGGGGGGGTCCGATTGAGGGGCCTGAACTCTGGGCCTGGGCGCTATCCCTCAGCTCTTCAGCTCAAGGCTAGTGCTCTACCACTTGAGCCACAGCGCCACTTCCGGCTTTTTTCTTTTTGCTTATGGGGTGCCGAGGAATCGAACCCAGGGCCTCAGGCATGCAAGGCAAGCGCTCTACCACTGAGCCACCTTCCCAGCCCCAATGGCTGGCCTTTTTGTTCTGTTCAGGTTGGTCTCAATCCTCCTCAGCTGGGTTTACAGGT